AAAACCAGTCACGAGTTTGGGTGTTCGAAAATGAGTTAAAGCCAACAAAAATTGTTCGTTCACGGAGTGTTGCAAAAAAAATGGTGGCCACGTTTGTCTCCAAAATCGGCCATGTTGCGACTATTCCTCTTGAGGGACAAAGGTTAATGCAGAATTTTAATATTTTAATAAATTTTAGGTATGCTAGCATTTGTTTGCCACAGGTCGTTTCTGAACTCCGTAAAGAGAACTGCAACTGCCGCATCATCCTCCATCACGACAATGCGAGTTCTCACACCGCACACAGAACAAAAGAGTTTTTAGAGCAAGAAAACATAGAATTATTAGACCATCCGCCGTACAGCCCCAACCTAAGCCCTAATGATTTCTATACTTTCCCTAAAATAAAGAATAATTTGCGTGGACAGAGATTTTCATCAACTGAAGAAGCTGTGGACGCCTACAAAATGGCGATTTTGGAGACCCCAAATGGAATGGTTGCTTCAATGATTGGTTCTATCGTATGGAAAAATGTGTCAAATTTCGCGAAGAATACTTCGAAAAGCAATAAATACATTTTTAAATAGTAATGTTTTGTCACTTCCTTGATTCCCAAAATTTTCAGTGCCGCCTTCGTACACGGCCTCCGCTCGCTCCCCCTTTTTATTATGTGTATGTATTATAGTATTCTATGTGTATGTTCAGTGATTTCATAGAAACGGCTGGACAGAGATTTTCATCAACTGAAGAAGCTGTGGACGCCTACAAAATGGCCATTTTGGAGACCCCAAATGGAATGGTTGCTTCAATGATTGGTTCCATCGTATGGAAAAATGTGTCTAATTTCGCGAAGAATACTTCGAAAAGCAATAAATACATTTTTAAATAGTAATGTTGTGTCACTTCCTTGATTCCCAAAATTTTCAGTGCCGCCTTCGTACACGGCCTCCGCTCACTCCCCCTTTTTATTATGTGTATTCTATGTGTATGTTCAGTGATTTCATAGAAACGGCTAAACCAATGTAAACTTTTTTTTATTTAGTAGGTTTTACCTAGTTCCGGGGTGTTCCCATAAAAATCCCATAAAAACATAATTAACGTAAACATTTGAAGACAGTCTAGTTAGTTACCTTAATTATACTACCACAGAATAAATAATAGCTACTACTCAAAAGGGTAACACATTAAAATTTAAATAAAACGCTTAAAACGATTTCAAAACCTTAAAAGAATAAATTAAATTCGGTAAAAGTAAAAATGAAATCGGTACTTACGTAGTAACATTATTTAATCTGTGCTGAAAAACAGGCTATCAAAGAATTAAAATTCCGACTTCGGAAGCTATACATGAAAATTATTTCAATATTTTCATGTATAGCTTCCGTTTTTATAAATTGGTGTTTAATATTCATTAAAAGTTTAATTTTTAGTTTTAGAATAGTCGATAAAAATCTACTTCATGTACTCTATAACACCGTTATAGATAACTAAAAGATAGTAAACATAAGCTTGCTAATCTAAACTCTAAGGTAGGACAAGGATTCTGCTATTCATTATTTTCTTAAATAATGAATCTAGTAGGTTTTTTTATTTAATTGTTATCCAAAGCGTTCAGTATACGTTATTTAGAGATTTATAGAGATTTTTTTTCGTTGCATTACTTAAAACTTTGAAACATCACTTCTCAAACTATAATTAATTATAGTTATATTGTTTAAATATAAAATTCGTTTTGGAACTTACAATTTATTAAACATTTAGTGACACTCCGTTTTATAATATTAAAAGTCAAAGAAATACATTCTCTGTTTACATGTATAGTAAAAGAACATAGAAATGTTACGTCTTTACCTTATTAAATCACCGTTTTATATAGAAAAATGTTTGAACTTAAAAAAATTATAAAGTGGAAGTTTTTTTACGCTGCAGCTATAATAGTTGTAGCATGACTGGGTCGGTTCAACCAGGGTAGCTGCTCTCACAGAATACCAGCTTAAAATAGAAAAAAAAAGTCTGGAGGAGATGATGGATAAGAAATGATCTCTAGTTGTTGCTTCATTGTCTGTTGCGCAGTATGTGGCCGGGCATGAAGAAGCCATAGCGAAAAGCAGTTCACCAATCAGGGTTGTTAAAGGGCCAGCTTCCATCCTTCATCCATCCACCATCATTAGCTAATCTTGACAATAACGGTTAGCAGTAACTGTGGTATCAGATGGATGATGCTATAGTAAATAACACCAAGAGTACGCGACTCACCTGTCACCGTTGCGTTACGTTGACCAACATTCTTTCTTCTTTACACCATGTCTTAGCACAGACCTAACAAACAGAATTTGTAAATTATTTCGTTCTTTTTGTTCTTTGCAGACAGACTTTACTTTTTGTTAAAAGTTATTTTTACCGACTTCAAAAACGAGTAGATATTCAATTCGACCGTATGTTTTTTTATGTGTGTTACCTCATAACTTTTGCCTCGGTGAACCGATTTTGATGATCCTTTTTTATCCGAAAGCTGGTGCTTCTCGTGTGGTCCCATATAGATTTAATCAAGATCTGACCAGTAATTTTTGAGTGATCCTTAATAATGCGTATTTAATTGACTTCGAATACATTGATTCGGTCGTATTGAAGTCGGTTGTACAAAATTTTTAATTTTACCACTTTTTTATTTAATTAAATCATAAACTGTAGGAGTTATTATTCTGTAACCCGTTGGGACAATCAATCAAAACGGACACATCGCCTTGTACGACAGAAGAACTCCTTGTATGACAAAATAACTCTAAAAAGACGAAATTATTTTTGTTGATGAAAAAGTGTATGAATTTACAATAACATCGGTAAAGACCTTCGATATCTGGAGGTCATCAAGGACTAGTTCGTTTTGGGTTCGAACGCTTGATTTTCATGGTGTTATAATATATTCTACCCAAATTAAATTGAACCGTGTGATAATGTTCTTGCCCTTATTATTCGCTTTTAGTGAAGGTCGTGCAACGTTGGTCGTGCCAGTGTAGGAGCGAGGTTGCGACCTGGTGCGCGCATGCATTACAATAGGTAATGCCGTACCTACGTCACAGTCCAATGTATTATTTTGTATCTCACTCATTTAATACAAAGTTTACGCTAGTATGTAGTGGATTCCAGAAAATACTTGCAATAAAATCGAAATTTAATTAGTTCGTTTCGGCACCGTCGATTTTAGCTGTTGATTTACCATGTGCTTGGCGATTAACAAAAGCATAGTAAGAACACCTGCATGCCTGAAAAATAAATATTTCGCGGACATAAGAAGTTCGCAAAGAACGCAGCTCAGCAGAATTACTGCTCCATTACCTTCTTAAAAATAAGAGAAGGCCTGGGCCAAGCATTGGGACGTACATACATACATATATATATATATATATATATATATATATACGTATTATGGCTGCAACACGAATAGGTTGGCTAGACCAGCGAAGGACAACGCTCTTACAGGATACCAGCGTAAAATTGAGAATCTATGTGACTATAGGCCACAACATTCACTTACAATCAGATGGACTGAATGTTTTTTTAAAGAATATTAACAATGCTATAAACATTACTAATATTCCCCTTAACCACTCGTGGTAAGCTTAAATTGCTTGTGTTACGAGTCGTTCACGCCAGTAGTTTAATGGCGGATTCGAACCCACGACCTTTTTGAGTTCGCGGTCCGCGCCCTGCCATTAGGCTACTGTCGCTTGAATATTAGTTTGTTATTCTCATCCGTTTGCTATAAAAAAGTTAATATTGAATTCAATTTTGTGCATTATTGTTAAGGCGCCTTCATCACGTTAAATACAAAATATTACCGTTATCCACTGTACTGCCCATCGTTTGACATAGTTTTTGCAATTTAAACTACCTACTACGTTATGTGTTATATCGAATTCTCCTTTACATCACACCCATAAACAGCCTTTTTGATCCATAACTGGATGGACCGGATGTTGAGGTTGAGGAACAGTTCGACTGAAAATTCCATTCTTCAACATGATGCAAACTTGGACGCAAGTATTTCGATGTACGTCACTCAGTTTGTGAGATACTTATTGGTCAAACCTTTTTATTTCAGTGATTTGCCGCAAATTATCGAATAAAATTTTCATTTGATACTTACATCAAAAACCGATGCTTGCTGAGGCGTAGCTTGAGATGGATGCGCCTATCGTCTTCAGTTAGTATCAACCTTCATCTCAGGGCGGCCACAAGGCATTCATTTGTGAGCTCAAATTTTCCCAGACGAAAAGCATCCATGTTCCATGCTCATCTCCAAAGCTTTGGCTTATTGGTCGCCTTCAGCGAGCAGCCTCAGCCGCTACGGCTCGCACAGATGCCTATGATATGCTACAGCAGGAGGGGGCTGCTCTCCCTCCGCGCCTACGGCTTCACAAAAACACTCTAGGGGTAGGACAGACAAGACTACGTGGATTCGGGGCGTTCTGAGTGGGTTTTTGTACAGATTCGACCTATCTTATCTATAATTATAACTTACAAAGAACAAAAAATGCCTTATAGTAAGTTAATGGTGGTCCTGGACCTGATAATTACCGTCATCTACATCCGACCTCAATAATCTTTCAGCACTTAATTAGCACTTAATTCCTTGCTATTAATATTTATCGTAGGTATATCTATTAACGTCTCTGCGTTGCTAGCGATACGTTTTGCCAGCAACAGAAATTTCAACAGTTCGTTGCGATGAAAATTTTAGAGCACCTCATGTTTAAATTTGGCACCTAGTTATCATTTAAAAGGCCCCTAATTTTGGCTTTTTCTAAATTCAAATTCCTGACTTTGCGTTGTTGGGAAAACACAACTCTCCTCCGTAGGTATCCTCGTAGGATCCTCATTTGCAACGGTTGGCTGACTGGTGGGCAACCCAGCTTTTTCTTAATTGCTTTTGAATTGTTATTAGAAAGATGCTACTTCCTATCTGGTATATTAATTATAATTTATTGCTATTTTCTATTGGTATAACTTTATATTGTCAGGTAATAATGGGCGATCGGGCGGCCGCGGAGCGGGCTTGCAAGGACCCAAATCCTATCATAGATGGGAGAAAGGCAAACGTCAACCTCGCAATACTTGGAGCCAAGCCTAGAGGGAATTTAGCACCAGGTTAGTAGGCAATTTCGTAGTATAAAATTTTATCATTTATCGTAATACATGTTTATGAAACTTTTATGTCTATTAATTAATCGAAGTATTGACTAAGTATTATTGTTGATGTACTTTAATATTTTATTAGTATGGAGAAGGAAGAAGAACTGGGCGGAAACGGATGAATTCTTTAAAAGTTTTTTCACTGCTTCGTTGGAATTAAAAAAATTCTTCTGTAAAAACTTACCAAATGCCGACAGACACATATTACACGTCATGCAGATATGTGGACAGGCGTTGACGTGGATAAGTAATGGATTAAAAAGCATTTTTGACAAGTCACAGTTGTTAAATAATCTGATGTGAAATCAGAATCTAAATGGCATCAAGTTCTATCAGTGTTGAGTCACAAGCACAAGCAGAAAAGTTTGACTTTGGTCTAGCTGCTGTTTTTAATCATTGTTACCAATGTTTCTGATGATCATACAGGGTACACACGTTTTACAACATGTGATAGTCGGATGCCTTTATCAATAAGATAATAAGACAAGCTTCGATGCTTGTTTTCTGTTTTCCTTCCTAAGTTCGTACTCGCTTTCAAAACTTGTTTATTTTTCTAACTTCATGCAAATGAATCAAAATCGTTTCTTTATTGACGTTTCGAAGACTGCTGCTAATTCTGACGTTTTTTGAGGTGAATTCGCTTATTATGTATTCAATTCAGCATTATTGACTTTAGTATCCGGACTATTCGATGATGAGATCAAAATTTTCTGAACTTAAGCAAATCAACTAAAATACTCTGTGGTCAATATATATTATTGCTGTTGCATGCCTCTTGGGCCGTATGGTACCAAATGAACTAATGGCTGTGTAAAACAATGCCACAGTGTTTTAATTTGACATTAAATTGAACCATATTAGAAAACAACGATTTCGTGCTAGTCAGTATTAGAAAAAAAACGATGTCAGTGGTAATTATCGTCATATTAACGAACAACAATACATAAGTTACGTTAAATGTTCACATATTTTATTTTATTGAAGTGAAAACTTCTTTAGAATCGTTGTGATTTGAAACTCGATGAAACAGAAAAAGCGACACTAAAAAGAGACTAACATATACCTATATCTATAGGATTTCACCTGTGAGCGAATGAGATTTCTAATAATTTTTATAATACTAATTAAATTTTACTAATAATGAATAAAAAAGGTTTTACTTTTACTGCGTGTGACTTTTTTTTACTGTTTGCATTGACAAAAGTATGAGTCAAGCATAGATAATCCTAGGCAGGTAGGTACTAATAATTTTTATGAAATGAAATATTTAATTGCGTTTGGTTAAGGTACACTGAAGATACCACTTAGATACTCGTATTAATCAAACATCCGCTTAATCAGCCGTTATTAATGCATTCAAATTTTACAACTATAAAATAACGAGATAATAGTATTTATGAGTAAAATGTCTAAAATACAATGTAAAAAGCCTTATCCCTGAGCCAGTTGTATAATTCTCTTTTAAATTTAATGAAGACCTACCTGTCTTGAATTACTTGTGCTATCTTATTATATACTGTCATACACATCCAATAGTAATTTTTATGGAATTACGCACACTTGGGAATTACAGCGGAAACCAATCTATTCCTATTTCTAGTGCCTCGTTTGTAAAAGTCTTTGTCTTGTGTGAAATAATACATATTGTTTTTTACGAATTTCGCCGCTTCAAAAATATATAGACAAGGAAGTGTCAAAATTTTCAAGGACTTAAACAAAGACTGACATTGGATAGTTAGTTATTCGTTGTATTGTCTAAAATTATTAGTAGATTTTGTATTTTGGCTTACATTTAAATATGATATTCAGTAGCCTTAAAGTAAATATGATATACAAAATCTGTTTACAGTCCTAAATTATAATATGGATTCTTAAGACCGTGGCGAACGGAGTCCTTCAATATATCAGATTTACCTACTACCTATGAGGATTAGGAATGCATAAACATCCCGGGTCCCGTTTCTTATCAAGGCTCAGCTGTTTGTAAATGGCGCTGTTTTTGTTTTTAGAACGTATGAAACTTTTTTTCTTTTGTTCATCTCCTTTCTTCAACTCGACAGCGTGTCGTCGTCTACGCCGACAAAAAATCACACGATCGCTACGCATGTGACCCAAGAGCGGTCGGGGGGGTCAATATATTCTTGTATGAGGTCTTTTTGTAGTGTAAGTTATGTAAATTTAACCTCTATTATGAGTATGAAATTGTCATATAATTATAAGAAGTTAACAGAGGGTAAATAAAATAGTCGAAGTAGTAAGTTAAAAACTAATGATGAAATATTTTTTGAAAAATGTATCATATTAAAAAAATCTATTCGATTTCATGAGGTGTAAAAACATTTTTATATTAATATAGTAGGTACTAAATGTACTATCTTAAGTGCAGTGCTTATTGGCACTCAATGAACACAATTAAAACCTATGTCTAGTAATGAACTTTAAAAAGACTAATGACATTTTTACTAAATTGAATAATTTTATTCTGAGATCGCTAAGTAATTGAATAATCAATTTTAAATAAAATTGCCTTGTCATTAAAAAGCACTAAAAAGTTTGAAAAATCGCATCTGATTGAATATTAAGTATTAAAAAAGTTATCGCCTATATACGTCCCACTGCTGGGCACAAGCCTCTCATTTCTGAGAGGGTTATTGGAACAATAATTATTAGTTATTCCGCCGTGCTGCTGCAGTACCTGTGTTGGCGGACTTCACTTCTTCGAAATCTTTTATTCCTGCGGGCTTCCCTAAGATTTTTAAAATAATTAATTATAAAAATGAAGTTTAAAGTTTATTTAAAAATGCGATTATTTTTTTATTTATTAGTTTTGATATTTCAGTTTCTATTTGCTAAAATTATTCCGTTCACAAAATCTTAAAATATCAAGAAATTTGTCAAAACGAACGTTAATATAATTAGGTCAAGCAAAAATTAAATGGCACTATCTATAGTAATCTTTACTATTATAAAAATTACAATTGAATTGATAAAATAGCTGATTAATTAAATTTGAGGTGGGCAACAGTAACTGTTAGAGTGATTATAATTTCATATCAGACAGCCGATAAGTTTTATTTAGTCGTTATCACTCGAGTATTTCATACACAGCAGAAGTGCCATTTTGTAGGTACTTAAATGTTTTTGTATGGGTGGTTAAATATGTAAATTATATGCATTTGTTCGGTATAAAACCTGCTGTACAGCTGTTGACACATTGGGCTCTTTTAGTTAAAAATGAATTTTCGTGACGCCTTGTCTCACACAATAAGCTAACGCGATTACAGCTAAAATTCTTCTTACTTGGGGCACTCCATACCCTGGAATAGACGCGTCATTCTTTTGTAATCATATTTTAATACTTCCATAGAAAAGGTCAAAAAATAGTCGCAATATTATAATGTAAGTATTTTATAAAATGTAATAGTATAGGTATTTTCTATACCTACATATATAAATATATGTATATTTTTACCTCTTTGTTTTCTATTACTCCAATTTGCCCAGTCATCTTCGTGCATTATCTGGAAGAAATTGCTGTCAGCAATAAGACCGCCAATTGCATAATTCTTTTGTATATATAATTCCTGTATAATTGGTATGGTGTGCAATAAAGAATATTAAATAAAGAAAATAAATAAAAATGACAATGTTATTAAGATTACAAATTATTTTCATATATTTTATTTACAAAATTTGAGTGACAAACAAACTTACAGTCAACCTGTTCGTAAATGGCACAGAAATCATAAATAAGACAATAGAAACGAATTAGCGCTCGATTACTTACTTCCAAAACCGATGTCGCCACATCTTAACACATAGGTACGCATTAAGCAACAAATAGATATGACTAGCACACATTTGCTAAACACCGCTGAAATGTATATAGCATTATATATTACGCACTAATCTATTATGAACCTTAATTTATAGTAATTACACCGTATCTTACTCCAATATATAATGTTACAGCCACAAAAATCTAAATAATATTGTCTTATTACGAATTCTGTGGTAAACGGCTATACTGCAGCCTATGAATAACTGTAGCCAACTTTTAATAAAGAAGGCTACACAATGTGCGTTGTCACCACTGAGGACTAAGATTCAATGCTTCGTAGACTATAATTATTATGCCGCTATACTATTCACATCGCAACTCAGCAGTACAACAGAATAAAATAAGAGAAATAAAAAAAACCGGCCAAGAGCGTGTCGGGCCACGCTCAGTGTAGGGTTCCGTAGTTTCCCGTCTGTCACAATAAGTGTACCCACTTATGAGTTTAAAGGTGGGTATCCATTATGTTCGCGCTCCAGCAGCGCTCCGCGCTCCTGCAACTGCTCCCGGTAGTGGGTACGTGCGCGAACATGGAGCGTGCAACATTGCACGCTCCGCGACAGGCGATGCCAAGGAGAGACCAACCGAACAATTCGATAATACCCGACCCAATGTAATAAGTACCTACAGCGCCATCTCTCGGGGAATTGGGTTACTAATTAATACGTAGACGTGCCAGAAGTTTTCGGTGGTAATTTTAGATAATTTTTTAATAATTCTTTTTTTGTTTGAAAAAAAGATACGTTCAGGATAATAAAATATGTAAACGAAGTTAAAAAAAATGCCTGCTTAAACGATTATACTACAAACTTAGTCCAGAAATTATTTTGTACAACTTTTTGTCTTTTTTGTACAAAAACCGTTTCCATCCAGGTTCAAAATAATTTTCCTAGAAAGTACTTATAAAGTTCTACATTTCAGATTTTTTTCATATTTTCTAAACCTTTGGTTCAAAAGTTAGAGGGGGGGGACACATTGTTTTTTACTTTTGGAGCGATTATTTCTGAAATTATTGACATTATCAAAAAAATGATTTTAGTAAACCCCTATTCATTTTTAAATACCTTTCCAACAATATATCACACGTAAGGGTTGAAATTAAAAAAAAATCACTTCCCACTTTACATATAGGGGGGCTACCCGAATAAAACATTTTTTTCCAATTTTTATTTTACCACTTTGTCGGCGTGATTGATACACATATCGGTACCAAATTTCAGCTTTCTAGTGCTAACGGTCACAGAGATTAAGCGAGGACGGACAGACGGACAGACAGACATGGCGAAACTATAAGGGTTCCTAGTTGACTACGGAACCCTAATAAGAGATTGATACTTACTCACAGTCAAATTTACCATTTGTTATATGAATTCCATATTTTATTTATTATTATAGGAAGACCAAAATATCTGGACAAATATTGAAAAAGTCGGTATTTTGGGGTTCTTGTCGGGAGAAACAAATA